CATTTTATATTGCAATATTTTAATCTATTGCAATTTCCTTCATTTTATATTGCAATTATCATCGTCTTATATTGCAACATTCCATTAAGTTCCAATTTTCTTCAATTTATATTGCGATAGTCCAATATATCGCAATTTTTTTCATTTTATATATCGCAATATCCCAAGATATATTCCAATTTCCTCCTTCCAAAATTAAATTCATTTCAATACGTGCCCAACATTTCGTCTAAAGAAAAAAAAAACAATCAACCAACCCCTCCCCTTCCCTCTCCCTCTACCCCGACCCCTCAGTTGTAACTTTCCACCAAAAACAAGCACACGGAGCAATTACTCCAATAGACCAGATGACAGATTCGGCCGGCGGTCGTGAGACTCTGTACGGCGGTTGGGCGGGGGGGGGGGGGGGGGGGGCCCCGGGGAGAGAGAAGAGTGCATCGATGTAAACAGTAGAAGCTGGAACAGCGATAACCGAGATTCGTCGTCGGAAAGGAACGGCCGCCGGCCGGCCGCGGGGTATCCAAAGAGAAATGGAAAGAGGGATAAGAAACCCCACGGAGCGGAAAGTTGCATTGCCGACCGCCGGAGCAGTTCAAGGCCTCCGTCCTCCCCCCCCCGCCCTCCCTCCAGTCCCCTCCCTCTCCGTCGCCGTCCCGCCCGCCTCACGCCGGATCGCCTTTTCTTTCCTCCCGCCGGTTTGTTTCCTATATTCATTCTATTTTCTGCACGCCGCTCCCCACCACCATCTTCTTCACGCTCCTCTACTATGCTCGTCGTCTTTGTTCCCCTTTCGCGTATCGCGAATTGTTGCATTTACGTTCTCTGCCACGCTCTGACCATCCCCTTCGCCCCGCTGCGGCGTTGCTGCCGCCCCTCTTCCCCTTCATTCCCTCTTCGCCGCGACCCCTTCATTACCGCTATCGTCCCCTTCTCGTTTCTCTTGGTCCGTTTCTCTTTATCATGGGTGGATTCTGCATCAACCCCTCCCCTCTCTCCTCTCTCTCCTTCGTCGCCCCACTCTTGTTTCTTCGCCGTTGTTTTGTGTTGTTCTGTTAACGCGTACTACAGAAACTGCGATTCTGTTTCTGCCCCTATCCCCCCCTCCCCCTCCCCCTTCCCCCCACTTCCCTTCTCCGATCCTCTCACGCATTAAATTGTGCTGATCGATGCATTCTCATCGTCGAGCGTTTCCTCCTTCCTTTCCCCGTTGGCTCCGTTTTGTTTCAACGGCCTAATTGACGAGGGATTCGTCAATTATTTGCTTAACTGGCTCTCTCAATCCGACTCTCCTTTCGCTCATCAGCGCCGTATCGTCGCGGTTGCTCGAGACTGAATGTCGGGGCTGAATTCCAGATCCAAGGCCAATTTGCACCTTGCTATCGCGTCGCTGATGTATGATTATTATGGTCCATTTGCGAGATTCAGTGGAATTCCAATTTTAGGGAGAACAAGTTGGAAGTTATAAGGGACGCGACACTAGCGCCACCCTCGTGGCTTAGGCTTCACTGGTGCCACCCTGGTGCCTCGTGCTTCTCTGTTATCTGGGAAAATTTTTCCCAAACCTCTCCAAGTGTCCAATCGACGACAAAAGTAAACAAAAGTAAACAAAAGTAATTAGTACGAGAATAAAAATACAAACAGAGGAGTCGAAGGGCAGTTTACATTTATTTGTTGGTTTGGTCTTTCCCAGTGAGCGCGATAATCTCGGCCATTTATAATTCATGGATCCTGTAGGGTCGACCGCGTGTAACGTAGTAGTTGACTGCACTATCGACCGCGTGCAACCGTTGCATCGCGTCGCGGCACCGTGACATCACGGTACAGTCACTAATGCCCGAGTTACATAAACCTCCATTGCGTGCTCTGTCTCTCTTTCTCCTCTCCTACGTGCACTCTGTATCTACATATAGTACAGTGGCCCCATCTAGCGCCAATGATGGAAATTATTTCGGTGCAAACTTGGCTATTTCACCATCGATGGCACTGACTGTATTTTGTGTAATTAATTCCGTTTGTGCCAGCAGACATTGCTATAGGCCGTCATAGCATAGACTCCAAACCAGTCGCTAAATTCCTAGGTCTAAAAATCGACCACAAACTTAAATTTAAAGATCACGTACAGGCAGTTCAGATTCACTGTTATAAACTCTTAAACATCATCAAGTTCCTGAGGAGAACGTGGTGGGGTTGTGATCCACAGTTTCTAATAATCATTTATAAAGCGCTAATCAGATCCAAAATTGATTATGGCAGCATGTGGTACTTCCCAGCAGACAACAAATCCAGGAACACACTGGAAGGTATCCAAACTGAAGCTCTTCGACTGGGATATCAAAGGTCCACTCCAACTAACATCATTCTATCAGAAACTCACCTAACCAGTCTAAAGGACAGCTCCAGCTATCTGGGCTCAAAATACCTACTAAAAGCAATCTCCAATGGCTCGAACCCCATAGTTAAATTACTAGCTGACTTCTACGAAGTTTACAGAGAGCAAAGATACTCTTTCAATCCATTGAGAGATAAAGACAGACCACTTGTACGCAGCATTGACCTAATTGAGGAGTTTACTCCCCTCATAACCAGACTACCAAATCTCCTCTCCAACACATCAGATTACATGGCACAGTTTGGACAACCAAAAATAAAACCAGAATTCTTATTCAATCTGAGAAACACTGCTCACCCAACTTTCATCTTCCAGGACACAATACTAAGCAAATATCCAAGTTACAAAATCATATACACGGATGGTTTTATATCAGACAGTCTTCCGACAGTAGGTGCTGCCTGCGTCATTCCAGAAGACAACTATACAAAAAGGATCTCTCTTCCCATACAAGCTTCAGTATTTACAGCGGAAAGCAAGGCCCTAGAATTAGCCTTCGAATACATTCATGAACAGCAACAATGTTCATATCTAGTCTGCACGGACTCACTCAGTCTCGCGCAATCCCTAGATAATCTTGGAAACAACCCACAAACCAATAGTCACAACATCACCATTAAAAACATTCTACACAATCTCAAAGAGAAAGCACCAGATCTAGATGTAACAATTATATGGATCCCGGCAGACAAAGGTATTGCAGGGAATGAACAAGCAGATAGGGTAGCAAGAGAGGCAGCTCAAGAAGCAGAATATAAATCCAATGTTCCTTACACTGACATCTTTCCACTTCTAAAGCAGAAAGTGGCTGTAAACACTCATAATGAGCTGACGAGACAAGCCAACAGCAAAAGAGGATCTTACTTTCGGAAATACTATCTCAGCAACTACCCGCCCATGGTTTTTCAACAAAAAACTCTCAAAGCACTTCACAATCTGGATAAATAGAGCACGATCCAATCATTGTAACCTCAAAGCCTCTCTGAAAAGAGTAAACATAGTACAGGACTACAGGTGTCAATGCAGTTATCTGTTGGAAGACATAGACCACGTTCTCTGGGACTGTCCCTGCACACAAATGCACAGAAAAGAAATGGTTTATCAATTAAAAGCGAGAGGTCTGAATCCACCATATACAGTAGATATGTTCCTAAAAGCACCTGACATTTCGATCCTCAAAATCATTGACAAATTTGTTACAAAATAACTTAAAACTGTGATCACTTTTACAATGTCCAAAGCAATTACTTTATACGTTCTGATAGCACACTTAGAATAAGTTAGACATAGTAACAACAAAAATATATATAAATAGAACTAGGGTAATAGACATAAGTTCCTAAAGATTACTACCAAATGTTCCTATTAAGATTAAGATAATTCTATTATGTACATTCTCTACATGTTGTAAAAATATATTTACAAAATGTAAGTTTTTACAATAAAGACATAGGCCCGAATCGGGCCTCAAGTGTTTTTAAATTAAAAATTTCGTTTGTTCGACCCTAAACCGTTATTAATCTCAATAAAAACAATTTAAATAAAGAAAGACGAACGATATTATTCGAACTTTCGAATAATCTATTCGTACAGACTGTTCTTAATTTACATAGGCCTGAAATTCGGGATTCCCACAACAAACTCGTTCTCTATAAAATTACTCTATGGTTGGACACCTTAAAGGACGCATGCGCGAACCCCTTGACCTACACGCTACATCCTGATTGCTCATAGTAAACAGGAAGTTAAGAAATCCGAACGAAGCACCACGAGTCAGGCTCGTGTTTCTTGTTTATGGACCAAATTCCTTGCCACGAGTCTCACTCGTGATTGTAGGCCAAAGGGTTAATAGTATCAACACCTATCCAACTGTCGTGTCTCATACACAAACTGTCTATCGGCCTGTTCTGCTGTTATCCGAGGATGAACCGTGGAGGGTAGCGCAGATGGCGATGGAGCAACGAACGGCGCATGATAATCGTAACGATAATAAGCGAATGATTCCCATCGCGTAGGGTGTTGCACGTCGAATGACGTGGTCGTAGTAACCGGCCCGGCACTGGTATAGTAATTTCTTTCAGGCACGTTCGGAACGTAGCTGTATTGTGGTTCTAGGAGACTTTGCAAGTGACGGATGTACGTTATCGCGTGCCTAAGGGATTCGATCTTGGACAGTTTCTTTCCAGGCGGTTTGCAAATCGGTAGCTTCGATCGCAGCAGCTCGAACGCGCGATTCATGTCTCTCATTCTTGTTCTCTCTCTGTCGCATGCTGATTTCTTGTAGTCTGAAAACCAAGTATATAACATTAGCGAAATGCTTTGGGCTGCTATGATCATCTATGATCATGTATTTACAACAGAATGGCATTACCGACCTAATTACCCACCAGGGCCGGCGTAAGGCAGGTTTAGCGCGTTTTAAAAGGCCCCGCGGTCTACGAAAATTACTGAATTAAAAGGTACCGATTTTGATTAACTTTTCACAGACCGATGATACCACTAACAAATGGAAGCAATTTTTGCTGAGACGCAGGACATTTTTCTAGTAGCGATGATTAAATTGAAAGGAGTGACAAAAATCATCAAAGTATTATTTTTTGATATTCATCTTATAAAAAATATACAGGGTGTCCCAAAAATGTTGTAAGTTGTTGAAAGAGGTAGTTCGGGAGGTGATTTGAAACAACTTCTTCCTTAGCAAAAATGTTGTCCGAGGCTTCGTTGAGGAGATAATAACGGAAAACACTGACCAATCAGAGCGCGAGTATACCGTTGGAGCGGCCGCAGTAGGCGTGGCTACGCGCTAGGCGGCCGCCCTCCGCCGCCATACTCGCGCTCTAATTGCCCGCCACTGATTGGTCCAGCGTTTTCTCCCAATATCTCCTTAACGAAGCCTCGTACAACATTTTCGCTAAGGAAAAAGTTGTTTCAAATCACCTCCACTCTGTATATACAGGGTGTCCCAAAAATGTTGTAACACCTTGAAAAGGGTGGTTCGGGAGGTGATTTGAAACAATCTTTTCCTTAGCGAAAATGTTGTACGAGGCTTCGTTAGGGAGATATTAACGGAAAACACTGACCAATCAGAGCGCGAGTATGCCGATGGAGCGGTCGCGGTAGCGTATGAGCTCGGCCGCCTAGCGCGTAGCCACGCCTACTGCTGGCGCTCCACCGCCATACTCGCGCACTGATTGGTCTACGTTTTCCGTTAATATCTCCATAACGAAGCCTCGTACAATATTTTCGCTAAGGAAAAAGTTGTTTCAAATCACCTCCCGAACCACCCCTTTCAAGGTGTTACAACATTTTTGGGACACCCTGTATAGCATCTGTTATCAAATAATTCCTCGTAAAATTTAAGTGTAGGATTTGAATGTGAATGCAGGCCCCGCAAAAGGTCACGCCGGACCTGTTATCCACCAAACCCACAGTCAAAGCCAATATGGCGTCGGATTAACCAACTAAATGCATAACAAAATGCTCAACTTTACGCACGCGTATAGTTTTAACCTTTTAACCGTTCCTAACATTTTAACTAACATTTTCGTAATCTGGCCATCAAAAACTACTAAATGGTACAAAAAAAAGTTCATAATTTTTGGGGGCCATTTAGTAGTTTTTTATGTCCAGATTACGAAAATTTCAGTTAAAATATTAGGAATCTAACAGTTAAAGAGATGCTTGTATTTTATCTCATTAAATTGAATATTGTTACTTTATCCACACCTTTTTCAGTCTGCGACGGTTCCCTCTGTACGGATTTAATGTTTGTTTCGTGAAGGATCTCTAAATGGGGATGAGTATTGATCACTTCTGGCTCGGGAACTCTGATCACGAACACTCGATCGCTGCTGTGCTGGCGATCCTCGAAATTCCCATCCTGCCATGTTCTTCTTGTGGATTGCCTGCGAGCTATGCTTGAAGTTTCTCTAACTAAACATTCTGCGAGATTAATTCATCTTTACAATTCATCTTTACAATTATAAATGAATTCGTGGTCGATATTGAAATCCCGGTGAATGAAAATGTTATAAATAATTAGAATAATTAGAACTCAATCTGCTGGAACACTCAAACGACATCTCACTTGCAATCACGTACATTCATTTAAAATTGGATGTAATTACATACTATTTGTATATTCTATTAAAGAAAATAAAGTCTTAATTTTTCAATAATATTTTTTTTTTCAGATTCTTCGTTAATTTTTTTTATTCTGCTAACAAATATACCTGATCCGTTCCTGACTAATTGATCCTGCAAATAGTGGTCGACGGCCGACAACTTTGACGAAGAACTTTCTTCGTGAGTTAGGACCTCTTGTTGCTGTTTAGAATTTTTGTCTAGATCCAACAATATGGGCGAGTGCGCGCAGTCCTCGCTATCGTTCTCTGACTGAAAAAACAGTCCACCCTTTCTTTTTTACCCATTATATCAGCAGCATGAATTTTTGTATTAAAACACGTTATGAAAACATTGCACACTTCTGATATTTTATATTCTATGATCGATTAGGGGTATTCCCCAAGAAGAGCCTAAAGATTTTATTTTTCAATTTTTTATTTTATATTTCAGTTTTCAACTTTGACAAAGTTGATGTATTTCGTATTGCTTGTGCTTAATTAATAAACAGAGCTCCAGAGATGCTGTTATTTAAATAAAAATTACGTCTGGACCCCTACCTCTTTCCTAGACAATTCGTTGGTGTAATCCTCTGGGTCCATGGTCGGTGAATTAATCACGTATTTAAACAAATTAGAGACACGTTGCCCGGATGACAGTTCTAACGCAGAAGAAGGTAGAGGACTGTCGATCCACCTTCTTCAGGAACTTTCCTAAGACATACGTCAGGCACGACTGTCGAACGCGTTTGTCATCGGATAAGATGTGGATCGGTCACAGACAGTCGTTATTAATGTTAATTTTATCCGTTTATTAAGTATTCAGGTGTTCCGGCAGGGGCACTCAATTCAGAGATACACGCGACCATTAGGAGGGGTCTTCAGGCAGCAGAGATGCTCCCATAATCTCTATTCTCCCATAATGTACGAGTATTTCTCATCAGGAATTCTGGATAATTGGAAAATTCGACTTTTTAAAGGGCATTGGAAATATTTAAAAACTAAAACGACATTGTCTTTCGTGTTTAATTGTTGGAAAAACAGTGTACAAATTTTCTTCTTCTTACATTGTGTTATTTTAGCCTGTTATGAATTACTTCTTTTTAAATAGCAATATTTTAATATACTGCAGTATATTAAGCAGTTCTCTTTTTCTTGAATTCTATTACTTAGGTATATTATATTTTTCTTGTTATTAAATTGCCATATTCCAATATATTGCAGTCTTCCCCTTCTTAAATTTCATTATTTTAGTGTACTACAAATTCTTTCTTCATCTTAAATTGTATTATTTTAGTCTATTATAAATTTCTTCATTTTATATTGCAGTATTCCAGTGCATTACAATTTTCGTCTTTTTATATTGCAATATTCCACTATATAGCAATTTTCTTCATTTCATATTGCAGTATTCCAATATATTCCAATTTTTTTCATTTTATATTGGAGTATTTCAATATATTTCAGTTTTCTTCATTTTATATTGCAATATTCCAATACATTGCAGTCTTCTACTTCTTAAATTCCATTATTTTAGTGTACTACAAATTTTGTCTTCATCTTAAATTGTATTATTTTAGTTTAGTATAAACTCCATCTTCTTAAATTGCAATATCCCAATATTCATTGCAATTTCCTTCATCTCAAATTGCATTATTTCAGTGTATGAAATACTTCTTCATCTTAAACTGTATTGTTTTATCCTATTAGAGATTTCTTCTTTTTAAATAGCAATATTTTATTAGACATTGCAGTTCTCTTCTTCTTGAATTGTATTACTTGAGCGTATTACATTTTTCTTCTT